GCATTTTTTGCAAAAATGAGTTAGCTAAACTATCGTATAAAGCAGGTATTCTTCTATATAATTTGATATTTAAAATAGCAATTTACATAATAAAATTTTTGCTGATGCCTACTTTTCTAAATGTTCATATACAATTATATGTGATCTAAAATTAGAATTTATAAATCTAGTTGTCAATCCTTGCTGCAGAGTCATAAAAAAGCATTAATGTGATTGGCTAATTTATGTTGCTCTAACAGGTTATACTAATAATAGATTGTCATTGTTATTGTTATACTAAATTTGAAACATGATTTTCTCAAAATAGAAAAAAAGCCATAAGCCCCCTTTTAGTTGAACGGTCTCTATATATTAATAGGCAAATCACGAGTTATCTAAACAAATATTTTTTTTTATATATAAATTTTACTATAAGTCTGAAAGTGAAGCGTACCTATCTAAAACTTTTTTTTACTAAATAAATCACTCTTGAACTTCTAATAAAAGTTGTAGAACTTATTAAGAGACATCTAATAGTAGTAAAAATATTAAAATTAGCTTAGTAGTTTTTTTAAAAAATTTTAAAAAAATCTTTCATTAATATATAAAATTTCTTAAAAAAATTTTTTTTTTAAAGAAATTTTATATATCAGTGAAAGGTTTTTTAAAGATTTCTTAAAAACTACTAAGCTAATTTTAATGTTTTTATCACCATTAGATGCCACTTGATAAGCTCTACAACTTTTGTTAGAAGCTTAAGAATAATTTACTTAGTACAGTTAGAGATATACTGAATTAGAAATCAGGTTCTAGAATGATCTATATATCGATTCTCAAATTTGATTGGCTCTTGTGCACCTTTTTGTTAACATTTTTAGGAATTGTTTACTCTTCTAATTTATTATTGAAAATCCAAAAATAAATACACAAGTAGACAACATAAGACATCTGATTTAAATAATCCACAATAATCTATATGAGTTAATGCTTATTTAAAAAATAGATGAGACCCAAAATCCAAGAATTTTTTATACACAAGCTAAAAGGTAAAAAGATAACCTTGCTAGCAATATACTTTTAAGTGAAAAGGCTTTAGCTATAACTATAGAGTATTTAGTTTAATAATCTACTAAATAATCTATTACAACAAATTTTAATAGAATGTTTGAAATTAATACTGATAAGGAAGTTACAATTAGTAAATATTCATAAGCATTTAAACTTTTGCAGATTAAAACCAATTTTTGTATCTTCTAATTTCTCTTATAACTCTAATTTTCTATTCTTTTCTGGAGCCTGCCTTTTGTATAAAAGCTTCTGTAAGTCTAAATAACCTTGAGGGTCAGGTATTAATTTCTATGCCAATAAGCATTTTGAAAGATGTAAGTATTCTCAATGAGATAAACCAACTATGTATGTTGTAAGTAGAAACAGAATTAAGTGAAAACAGAATTTTTTATAAATCCAAAATTTTGGAGTTGATTTTATCATATATACACCTTTACTCTAACTTTAATTTAACTTGAAAATTTCAAATCTACTTAATTCCATTCTTTCTTACAACATATATATTAAGAATAGAAACTAAATTATTTTTTTTCCCGATTGTTTATACTTGGTAATAGCAAATTTTTATATTATTTCAAATTAATTTTTATTATATCTCTTAGATCAGAAATATAAAGCAAATGAAACATGGGGGTGTGGCTATTAAGATGATGATAGATATTCTTTTTGTTTGGGAAGTGGTATGCTATATGATTTATCATATTCTTCTGAATATACAACTAGTGATATAGTTGGATACTATTTAAATTTTAAGAAGAAAATAGTATTTTATATTAAAAATGAAATTAACTTAAGTAACCAACTTTTAAAATTAAAAGTTATATTTTTTAAAACAAATAGACAGAAATTTAATAATTATAAAATATTTTAAAGAATTGTGTGCCATCTATGCAACAATTTCAAAAGCATTCTATATCCTTGTGTTGGGCTTAAATTGCAAAGTGAGTCAGTAAAAGTGAACTTCAGCAATGAAAGTTAAAAAGCAACTGATGAAAAAGCAATCTAACTGGATACTATTCTAGGGAGGTACTCTATGCAGCACTATATGATAAGTTTCTTGACCTCCTACTAAAATAAGAGGGTCATGATAGCAAGCCAGTTGGCCATTAATTATTCTTTGAGTAAAAGAACCTTCTTTTAGCAAACTTGCCAAATTGCCATTAGGTCAAAATTATTAGTAGCAATTATAATAATAAAATTGGGGTTTTGGGCTTTGGCCACTAAACTGGCTTTATCTTGGCTAGTAGAGAGAAAATTTTTATATTCTTCTAATAAGTAATTTTTTTTATCTCCAGTTTCTTTCTTTATATCCACTCTATAGTCAACCTCTTTTACAAAAACTATGATCACTCTCAAGTGCCTCAATTAATGAGTCGAAAAATGTCTGAGAATAAAATTTACTTAATAAAAAAATTTAAAATTAATTAAGTATATTTATTATTATGATGAATAATATGTAAATTTTTTTTTTTTATACCTTCGCAATGTCATGGAAGGGTAGATTTTTATTAGATATTTTAGTAGTACATTCTTGGTTAGCGAAAGTATATATAGCCACATGTGCAACTTTTGGTTGTCTAATTTAAGTAGTCCGCCCGAAGGTTTTATACTATATTCTATACCTGTAACCTAACTAGGAGATTATTTATTTAAACTCTCTGACGTCCTCTGTCTTGCTCCACTAATTAATATGTAAATTAATAAAGTTTATTATATAATAAACTATTTATTTGTAAAAGACATTAAATGAAATTTTTATTTTAATCAATAAACTTTTTACAACAAACCACCTTTTTTTTATGCCTACCTTTGAAAATTTTATAATCAATAGAGTATTGTATTTTCTCTAAAATAAGCTATTACCGAAAATAAGCTACCTTCCTTTTTTAGAAGAAAAATATAAAAACCTCTTTAGCCTGAAAATAAGCTACTTTATAATCATCAGTAGTTTCTCTGTAGTAAAGTCAAAATTTTATAAAATAAATTGATATAGCTTATTAAGTAAACATTGTTCAAATGATCATAATATATATATTTTAAAAGTTTTATACAAATCGGATAACTTTTTATTAATACGTTTTTGCATGTTACATTTGACGAATTTTTTGAATTTTCTTAAAAATTTTTTTGAAATTCATATTCATTGAACGTAATATGCAAAAATGTATTAATAAAAAGTTATCCAATTTGCATGAAACTTTTAAAATATGTGTATTTTGATCTCCTGAACAACTTTCACTTAATATATATCATTGATTTACTTAATAAGTATTTTCGGAATTGAGCAAAAATCAATTATATCTGAAAATAAGCTACTACTGATTTTTTGTGTTCAAAATCATCCAAAAAAAGAGTAGCTTATTTTCAGAAAAATATAGTATTCAAAGAGATTGCTCAAGCAACTTTGTTATAGATCACTATTTTTGATAGCAACAAATTATTATTTTACTTTACGCATTAAAAATTTTTATAAAAAATAAAAAAAATCAAAAATTCTTAGAAACAATATTAAATACTTATCATATTTTAGCTTTCGCTTAAATGGCAACAAATTCAACTATTCTGAGACTGCTCAAGTATTAACTTCAATAATTATTTTGATTGATTGTAATAAATAAGTACTAGTACAATCACTC